GTCTAGAGCCTCCATTTTTGCACTCAGGTCTAAGTCTCGTGGCCCTCTATCAGAATCCAGAGTTTCAAGAAGATCAGAGAATAACTCAAAAATTTCGACCAAAAAAAAAAAAAAAACGACAGTGGTACCCCTTTGGTTTTTTTTTTTCGGGGTGAGAAATAAAGTTTCTGCAATATTCTCAAAACTCTGGATTCTTATAGAGGGCCATGAGACTTAGACTTGAGTGCAAAAATGGAGGCTCTAGACCCTCCCAGAGCTGAGATATGTTAAAGGATGTATAGGCCAAACCAGGTGTTATCAGAATCCCGATATTGACACGGATCCATCACAACATGACTTCATATTAGGGACTGAAGTGAGTGTTGGCAATCAGGTGCTGGAGGAGTGGAGGAACGGATGTGAAGAGGACACAATCAGCGCCAACACGCACTCATCCACATAAACACTGCTGGGCTTAATACACACAGCACTGATCTGGCACTGCACTACTGTGTACTAGACCAGACAGCAGGTGCACACGCACAAACACACCACAGTCAGTGTGTGAATCTCAACAAAACCAGATCCTGGTCACACTTCACCCCAAAATATAAAGCAGGAAATATAAATACTTAGACCTGAGTGCAAAACTGGAGGCTCTGGACTCTTCCAGAGCTGAGATATTGAGATATTTATAATGGCATAAATGCTTTGTGAGATCTCAATATCTCGGCTCTGGAAGGGTCTAGAGCCTCCATTTTTGGACTCAGGCTTAAGTCTCATGGCCCTCTATAGACCAACGCCACTTTTGCGTCATCGAAGGGTAACGCCCCCTTTTGGGGGAAAACAGCTCTATACTGTCTATGGGAAAACAAACGGATTCCCATGAGAACAGAACTTGCACTAGATCTGCAAAGTTTCTTGATAGCAAAAATGGCACAAACTGAAAGAAGCTAACGTTACTGAATACGGGGTTACAGAGGTGTCCCTTTGAAATGGTCGAAAACTGGATTAATGACCCCACACAGCGGCCAAAATATGGACTATTCAGACATCTAACGTTACCACTATCTCGTGGAATCACCAAGTAAGTAGCCTTTTTTATTTATTTATCATTTACACACTCACAGTAGCCTATTACAAACTACTAGACGATGAGGCCATGTCACTTGGATCATATTTAACTTGATTTAAGCTATTGACAGTTTTGTTGTCGACTAGCTATTAGAAAGACTAGCTGTTAGCAGCTAACGTTACCTTATTAGACTATGTCAATAGCTTAAATCAAGTTAAATATGATCCATTCATCGTCTAGTTTGTCATACTGTGAGTGTTAATGAAAAAAAAAAGGCTACGTGCTTACTTGGTGATTCCACGAGATAGTGGTAACGTTAGATGTCTGAATAGTCCATATTTGGCCGCTGTGTGGGGTCATTAATCCAGTTTTCGACCATTTCAAAGGGACACCTCTGTAACCCCGTATTCAGTAACGTTAGCTTCTTTCAGTTTGTGCCATTTTTGCTATCAAGAAACTTTGCAGATCTAGTGCAAGTTCTGTTCTCATGGGAATCCGTTTGTTTTCCCATAGACAGTATAGAGCTGTTTTCCCCCAAAAGGGGGCGTTACCCTTCGATGACGCAAAAGTGGCGTTGGTCTATCAGAATCCAGAGTTTTGAGAAGATTGGAGAAACTTATTTTCTCGCTCCGAAAAAAAAAAACGAAAGGGGTACCACTGTCGTTTTTTTTTTTTTTGGTCGAAATTTTGAGTTTCTCTGATCTTATTGAAACTCTGGATTCTGATAGAGGGCAATGAGACTTAGACTTGAGTGCAAAAATGGAGGCTCCAGACCCTTACAGAGCTGAGATATTGAGATATTTATAATGGCATAAATGCTACGTAGGATCTAAATATCTCGGCTCTGGAAGGGTCTAGACCTCCATTTTTGCACTCAGGTTTAAATCTCATGGCCCTCTATCAGAATCCAGAGTTTTGAGAAGATTGGAGAAACTTATTTTTTCGCCCGAAAACGAAAAAAACGAAAGGGGTAACACTGTCGTTTTTTTTTTTCAGGTTTAAATTTTGAATTTCGATATCTCAGCTCTTAAAGGGTATAGAGCATCCATTTTTGCACTCAGGTCAAAGTCTCGTGGCCCTCTGTCAGAATCCAGAGTTTTGAGAAGATTGGAGAAACTTATTTTTTCGCCAGAAAACGAAAAAAAAATGAAAGGGGTAACACTGTCGTTTTTTTTTTCGGGTCGAAATTTTGAATTTCGATATCTCAGCTCTGTAAGGGTCTAGAGCCTCCATTTTTGCACTCAGGTCAAAGTCTCGTGGCCCTCTATCAGAATCCAGAGTTTTGAGAAGATTGGATAAACTTAATTTTTCGCCCGAAAACGAAAAAAACGAAAGGGGTAACACTGTCGTTTTTTTTTTTCGGGTCAAAATTTTGAATTTCGAAATCTCAGCTCTGGAAGGGTCTAGAGCCTCCATTTTTGCACTCAGGTCAAAGTCTCGTTGCCCTCTATCAGATTCCAGAGTTTTGAGAAGATTGGATAAACTTAATTTTTCGCCCGAAAACGAAAAAAACGAAAGGGGTAACACTGTCGTTTTTTTTTTTCGGTCAAAATTTTGAATTTCGAAATCTCAGCTCTGGAAGGGTCTAGAGCCTCCATTTTTGCACTCAGGTCAAAGTCTTGTGGCCCTCTATCAGAATCCAGAGTTTTGAGAAGATTGGAGAAACTTATTTTTTCGCCCGAAAACGAAAAAAACGAAAGGGGTAACACTGTCGTTTTTTTTTTCAGGTCGAAATTTTGAATTTCGATATCTCAGCTCTAGAAGGGTCTAGAGCATCCATTTTTGCACTCAGGTCAAAGTCTCGTGGCCCTCTATCAGAATCCAGAGTTTTGAGAAGATTGGAGAAACTTAATTTTTCGCCCAAAAACGAAAAAAAAAACGAAAGGGGTAACACTGTCGTTTTTTTTTTCGGGTCGAAATTTTGAATTTCGATATCTCAGCTCTGGAAGGATCTAGAGCCTCCATTTTTGCACTCAGGTCAAAGTCTCGTGGCCCTCTATCAGTATCCAGAGTTTTGAGAAGATTGGAGAAACTTATTTTCTCGCGCCGAAAAAACAAAAACAAAAGGGGTACCACTGTCGTTTTTTTTTTTTTGGTCGAAATTTTGAGTTTCTCTGATCTTCTTGAAACTCTGGATTCTGATAGAGGGCAATGAGACTTAGACCTAAGTGCAAAAATGGAGGCTCTAGACCCTTCCAGAGCTGAGATATTGAGATATTTATAATGGCATAAATTCTACGTGGGATCTCAATATTTCAGCTCTGGAAAGGTCTAGAGCCTCAATTTTTGCACTCAGGTCTAAGTCTCATGGCCCTCTATCAGAATCCAGAGTTTCAAGAAGATCAGAGAAACTCAAAATTTCGACCAAAAAAAAAAAACGACAGTGGTACCCCTTTCGTTTTTTTTTTTTTCGGGGTGAGAAATTAAGTTTCTCCAATATTCTGAAAACTCTGGATTCTTATAGAGGGCCATGAGACTTAGACTTGAGTGCAAAAATGGAGGCCCTAGACCCTCCCAGAGCTGAGATATGTTAAAGGATGTATGGGCCAAACCAGGTGTTATCAGAATCCCGATATTGACACGGATCCATCACAACATGTCTTCATATTAGGGACTGAAGTGAGTGTTGGCAATCAGGTGCTGGAGGAGTGGAGGAATGGATGTGAAGAGGACACAATCAGCGCCAACACGCACACATCCACATAAACACTGCTGGGCCTAATACACACAGCACTGATCTGGCACTGCACTACTGTGTACTAGACCAGACAGCAGGTGCACACGCACAAACACACCACAGTCAGTGTGTGAATCTCAACAAAACCAGATCCTGGTCACACTTCACCCCAAAATATAAAGCAGGAAATATAAAGACTTAGACCTGAGTGCAAAACTGGAGACTGTGATGGACAGAGTGAGATTAAAAGAGTCAATAATTTGAAGAAATTCCTTAACCAATGGATGAGAGGGACAACAGACATGTATATTAAAATCGCCTAAAATTAATAGTTTTTCAAAATACAGTACCCTAGAGGATAAAAATTCCTGCAGAAACATCTTATTGTAATAAGGAGGTCGATAAAACAAGGCAAAGAGAAGGGAATTCTCTGTACTTATCTTAAGTACTTGAACTTCAAAACTACTAAAAGTGTCCACTGATAATAGACAACACTTGAAAGAATTCTTAAAAATAGCTACTTCCCCCCCCCCACGACCCGATGTCCTAGGAGAACTAACAAAAAAAATAAATAAATCTAGAAATATAATTTGACACAAGAGGGCAGTATAGCTCTATTTATGGTTTTGATATGGCACTGCGCGACGCGGCGCTGCGCTTCTGGGTTAAACCGTGACATCTACACGTTTTCAGGGATCAGGGGGCGGAGTTGGGTTGGTTTAGGTGAATGTGAGGTGGGAGGAGTTGGATCTGGATCCGACTCCTCCCCGTGGATTTCATGTTCCGCAGTGAGAAGGTTGCCAAGCAACATAGTCATGTGCTAATTATATTCTGGTAAAACAGAGAGTCACAGCACCGATATGTAGGCCTATCCATTAATATGCAAAGGTTAAACCTTTAGCTATACTGTAAAGTCTGTCCACTGCCTTACAAAACAATTCAATACAAACAAGCTGGTTTATTTATAACAAGGCATAAAACAGGGATTGCATTAAACGTCATGCGCTTCTTCATAGCATGTGCATAGCCATTCAGTTCCCTGAGACCTCAGTTCAAACGTGCATATTTCTCAATTAGAGGTAATTAATATAAAGGGGAAAAAAGTAGTTGCAACAGTGCAAACGAAAATATTATATAATATTAATATATATTATATCTCTTTTTACTATACATACAAACGTAATATTTCACCATTAACCTATTGAGACTTGCCAAATTGTTTGTGTCCACTGCAGTGGACATACGGACAACGTTTTGTTGTTATACCTATTTGGATGTCACTTTTTATTCCAATCCAGTTAAATAAAAAATGATAAAACGTCTCAGGAGGTTAACGACGTAACAGATTCCTGTTTGTTTGGTGTGCTGATCTTGACTCTTCTCCTCACGGATGCGCCTGTCCTGCCGGACTCCTGCAGTTTAAAGCTCTCCAGTCCTCCCGCCTCATCCAGAGCTCGCGCGCTGCAGCTCGGCGTGGGCACTTTAACGGTGTTCCCAAACTTCGAATAGTCCACAGCATACATCCCGTCTTCTTGAGACACCGTCGGCACAAACCTCTGACCCCACAATATCTCCTCGGACAGGTAAGAGGTCCGCGCTTGAGTGGTGATGCCGGTGGTCTCCACGACCCCCTCCAGCACGACGACCACCTCGATGTCCTCGTGCAGCAGATCAGCCGCCGACAGATCATACAGCGGGCTGTTTTTGTCAATGACGTGGTTGATGATAAGGGGCGACACCAGGAAGATGCTGTTGGTGCCCAGCGGGTTGTCCATCTGGATGTCTATCTGATCCAAAGGCACCATCTCGCCTTCATTGGTGACGGTTTTCCGCACCACCTGCATGTGGATGGCGGCACTGATGATCATGCTCTTCCTCAAGTCGCCGAGGCGAAACATGAAGCACAGCTTGTTGTTTCTGACGGTTATAACCGCGTGTTTGCTGAAGATGAGCGTTTCCGCGCGCCGGTTCGCTTGCGCGGTTTTCATGAAGATGCATCCCAACATGATGGCGTTGATCAGCAAGCCGACTATGTTCTGAATGATCAATATCACGATGGCCGATAGGCACTCCTCGGTGACCATCCGTCCGCCGAAACCGATGGTCACCTGGACTTCAATGGAGAACAGAAAGGCTGAGGAGAACGAGTGGATGTCCGTTACACACGGGACAAATTCGTCACCTTTCGGGTCCAGGTCTCCGTGCGCGAAGGCGATGAGCCACCAGATCATCCCGAACAACAGCCAACTGCACAAGAAGGACATCGTGAAGATCACCAGAGTGTGAAGCCATTTTAGATCCACTAGAGTGGTGAACACGTCTTGTAGAAACCGTCCTTGTTCGCGTATGTTCGTGTGCGCGACGTTGCAGGTTCCGTTCTTGGCGACGAATCGCGCCGTCCGCGATTTGGTCGATTTATATTTGGGCTGTAACACATCCTCCGCCAACCGAGTCAAGTAATAGTCGTCGGGAATAAGTCCTTTTCTGGACAACATAGCTGGTCCATACTACAGTTTCGCGGCTGCGCTAGTAAGTTGTAACATGACAAGTGCACTCATCTTCAGCGCGCGCGCCGCGCTCGGTGTGCGTTCACGCGCTCACAGGAGGTCCCGTGGGAAGACGACACTTTTAGGTTATCCGGCTGCCGCTGCCAGTCAATTGCAACCGGATATATTCTCGCACATCCTCTGATGTGACTTCAGAAAGACTGGTTTAGCACAGGGCATGCGTGCTAAACGCGAACTTTACCACAGTGAGAAGAAGAACCCACTCATAGCCTACACTTTTACTTATGTCATAGTTAGGGCTCGAGTTCTAAAGAGAGAAACTAGTGACTATAGGCCTACACTATAATACTAAACACTTTACTCTGCATTAACAATATAACTTATTATAAAAAGGAGCATTTTTTAATTTCATTTCTAACTTCGGTAACAATACTATTTTAACGTGTCCTTGAAACACTTTACTGTGTTTACTACACTTTAAATAATGCTGGGTTTTAACCAAATGTTGGATTACAAATGTAATGTAAAATTTTAACCCAACTTCAACTTTCAACTTTACATTTTTTAATTGCATTTTTAACCCAACATTTGGGTTTGTCCATATTTGACCCACATTTTTTAGCGTGTAGCCTATATTAATGACTATATAATTGGGCATGCAACTAACCCTGAATTAAAAACTATTCCTATACCCTAACCCCCCTAGCAAGTATACGTAATTAATATTACTCATTATTAAATGTATAATTACACTGTAACAGGGACACAATGAAACGAAGTATAACACTTTTTTTTTTACCTTTTAAAAAAAATATCTTTTAATTGCATTATTTTTATATTTAACAGATTAACATACCATATTATAGACAACAAAGCTGTACTATCTTGTTAAATATTGTTACACGCTGCATTAAATCAGTGTGTGAGTGCAAATTTGCATGAGACAAACTACACTACCATGCTATATAACTAATAACCTATACTATACACTAGCTTACTATATTATGCTAATTAACTGTGAACTAGCAACACAGTTAGCTTTTAAAGGCTAAAAAATAAAATACAAAATAGTAGGGGTGTCACGATTTCGATATTAAATCGAAATCGATCGAAATTAATTCAATGGTATCGAAATCGAAATAAAAAATGGTATCGTCGATACTGCCACGCCCCATGTCGCGTCCGTGATGGAAAGTTCGGATCGTTTTACTGACTCTATTGTTCAATCTCGTTCATCAAAATTAACTAAACTTTTTTTCTAGTCATTTCAGGGGCTTTAAATGTTATACTATTAAGTTATGTTACTTGTTTTTGTTATATTTTAAATTTGGCAATGGTGTAGTGTACATTGTAAACAAATTTATATTGCATAATGCATAAATGTGTAGTCTAAAAATTGCATAGCAATCTGCGCTTTACATTTTTTTTTAAATCGAGAATCGAATCGTGACCTTAGAATCGATCGAATCGAGGATTTGGAGAATCGGGACACCCCTACAAAATAGTGATTTATCTATGCTGTACTTTACTATTCATTAACAATACAAATATTTAGGTTCCGTTGGGCTATAGTGAATATTTATACTATAAATAATTCTATACACTACTACACAAATGCAATAACACACTACAGAAAACTTGTCAAATTAAATAAAAGCTGCAACCCTGACTAAGATCTGTACTTATATCTATGATGAAAGGTTGTAAAATATACAAGTTGATAAACTGTACATATTATGTCATATTATTATTCCACTTTAGGATGCTAAAATAATTATTGTTTAAATTATAATATGAATTCATGTTTTATATAATGTGTCCTTTTCTGTATAAAAATGTGTAATTTTTTTTGTATAAAAAAATGGGCATACAGGTTGTTTAAATATTTTTATTAATAAATGTTTAAGATTTTATGTACAAATGTGATTATGATAAATACAGTTATAAATAATTTATAATTCACGGTACAAGTGCACTTTCAGTATAGGGTCTCCGGACTCATTTGTCGGCTCGCACGAACGACGCAAACACACTGTCCTCTTGATTCAGGAGAACCTCTGGTTTATCAAACTCCAGAATGACTCCTCGCTTCATCACAATCACCAGGTCTGCATTCAGGATGGTGTGCACACGATGCTGTGGAAACACACACACACACATGCAATGTTGTGAAATAGCTAAGAGCTTGTTTGATCTGACTGAAATGCCTCTTCATCATTAAAAGCATTGAATCGTCGTTTAACCACAGCTAGACTTCAAATATTAAAGTCCGAAAGCAACTTACGGCGATGGTGACCACAGTTCTGTCGGTGAAGGCAGTCATCACAACTTTCTGTAGAATGCTCTCCTATTAAAAAAAGATAATTATTAATATAATATAAAAATATATAATATAATACAATCTAAACCTAACCTATTTAAAAAAAGAGCATTATACTGTATATATATATATACACACACACATATATATATATATGTAAATGTTTATATGCATGTATGTATTATACATTATATAATTTTAATAATTCAAACATTTATCATTATTTATATATATATATATATATATATATATAATTTCTAAAAAATGAAAATTTATCATTTCAAATATTTTAACCTTATGTGTGTGTGTGTGTATGTGTATATATATATGTATGTCTTTATAATTAAAAACTTTAATCTATTAAAAAGTGCATTATATTATTTTAGTAATTCAAATTTTTATTTTATAAATAATTTATTATTATTATTATTATAAAAATGGCAGAAAAATGGCTACATTTAACTATAGTTTACATATATTATAAAGTTAGAAATTATTTACAATTTGTTATATTATTATTATTATTATATAATTACATAATATATAGAGAATTTTTTACTTTTTAACCTAATAATATAATCTTTTTAAATGCATTTCTCTAATTTAGTAGTTATTATTAACAGATTAATTATATTATTGTTATAACAATTTAAGTGAAGGATTTCATTGAAAAATGAACAAGGATTTTATTACTTTGTATATTAGTGTTTTAATGACGGGTTTTCAAAGTGTGGGGCCGTAGAGCTGGGTGACGTGACAATGTTAATCGATAGAGATTGTTCTATAGTTTATCTGTATGTAAATATTTCCATGCAGCGTAAGACTGCTTAAACACGATTGAAAAGATATACTTTATGATGAGTTATTTAAATTACAATAAATTGCGACAGAGAACTTAATTCGGTACGTGCTGAATTCAGTTGACTTTCACGGCTTATTGCGCTTGTGTCAAAATGTCTGGATATGTCAAAGTGAAATTAGACATAACAGTTGTCAAATTGGGCAAAACAGTTGGGCGACATTCTTATTTTATTCTCATAAGCTCTTAAAGTGACGGCAGCCTCATAAACGCCAGTCATTAATGTTAATCAAACTCATTCACTGCTCTTGACTGAATATCTTCTATAGCGTTATTAAGAATCTGTGTGTGTGTAATTAGATATTGAAAAACCCTGGCTTACTTTCAAGCTGACATAGCATTTTTATTTTGAATTCTTTCGGAGTACTCGGAAACACCAGCACTTTTCACACGGACTCCTTTCATTTTCAATCTATCAAACTGTCCCTCACTGTGTGTTCATTCCAGTATGAAACCCCAGCCAGTGCATTTAGCACAGCCATGGTTCATTTACTCCGGAGAGATGAAGGCAGAGGAGCAGTCGGAAGAGAAGTGTGTTTGAGAATAGTGTGAAGTGAATCGAGGTCATGGCCCCTGAGGGGGTTCCTTCTACCTCTTAGACTCTCTATTATACTTCTAAACACACACACACACACACCGTAGCCATGTCTATGGAAGCAGTGGCCTCGTCCATAATCAGAATACTGCTCTTCCGCACAAATGCGCGTGCCAGACAGAACAGCTGACGTTGCCCCTGGCTGAAGTTCTCCCCACCCTCGGTTATTATTGCATCTGAAACACAAGGAAAGAGTATCGTCATCAATCATATATTTAGATTATATTACGGTTTTAAAATTAAATCTTAACCTTAAAAAGGCCCGTTCACACCAAGGATGGTAGCTATAACTATATGAATCTAAAATTATAATAGTCGTTCTAATTCTGTAGGGAATAGGGAAGTCCACACCGCAACCATAAAGATAACAAAACAGAGGAAAATTATTGTTAGAATCACTTACAGGACGATTTTTTTTCCAGTTAATGAACAGTAAAAACATTGAGAGCTAATCAGAATCTAAAAGTCTTTAAAGAGTGAGCATTAAAAATGGCAGAAGACAGCACATACTTATAATAAACGGAAGATTATTGTGCGTTGATGTGGACGCTAATATACACTCACCTAAAGGATTATTAGGAACACCATACTAATACTGTGTTTGACCCCCTTTCACCTTCAGAACTGCCTTAATTATACATGGCATTGATTCAACAAGGTGCTGAAAGCATTCTTTAGAAATAGATAGGATAGCATCTTGCAGTTGATGGAGATTTGTGGGATGCACATCCAGGGCATGAAGCTCCCGTTCCACCACATCCCAAAGATGCTCTATTGGGTTGAGATCTGGTGACTGTGGGACCATTTTAGTACAGTGACTCATTGTCATGTTCAAGAAACCAATTTGAAATGATTCGAGCTTTGTGGCATGGTGCATTATCCTGCTGGAAGTGGCCATCAGAGGATGGGGACATGGTGGCCATAAAGGGATGGACATGGTCAGAAACAATGCTCAGGTAGGCCGTGGCATTTAAACGATGCCCAATTGGCACTAAGGGGCCTAAAGTGTGCCAAGAAAACATCCCTCACACCATTACACCACCACCACCAGCCTGCACAGTGGTAACAAGGCATGATGGATCCATGTTCTCATTCTGTTTACGCCAAACTCTGACTCTACCATCTGAATGTCTCAACAGAAATCGAGACTCATCAGACCAGGCAACATTTTTCCAGTCTTCAACTGTCCACTTTTGGTGAGCTTTTGCAAATTGTAGCCTCTTTTTCCTATTTGTAGTGGAGATGAGTGGTACCCGGTGGGGTCTTCTGCTGTTGTAGCCCATCCGCCTCAAGGTTGT